TGTGATGAATGGTAACACAAGATGCATCACACATAAGCATTTAAGACAAACACAAGATTATGCAAGACATAGACACCAATAGCTATTTAACTAACATCACACAACCTATCATGCTAAGATGGCAAAGAAGACGACAACACCAAGCATGACACAAGTTTTCCAAGATCTCAGGTGCTCTAACTCAGTCATCATTCAAGGCATAAGTCACACTTAACAATATACAAGCAAACACTATAATTGGAATCTGCCAATTTCTGGACATGCAAACAGCAGCTACAAGATTTAGCTATAACTGGAGTTACACAAACCCAAATTACTTGCAAGAAAACATTTTCGAAAGCTTATGAAATTATCTACATTTCATCTATAATCATCTTAGCATGATTCTCAAGTTAACTAAGTCAAATATACCCATTTACAGAAACTGGTCCACAATTGACAGAGAGCAGCCATTTCTGAAACCTAACTTTAAACAGGCATAACTCACAAACTACAAGGCCAAATACCACCAAATTTTAACAGCAGCTAGATACATAAATTATCTACAACTTTTGTATAAACAAGTTTCACAACAAAGCACATTATCATGAAGAACTTTGCTGGGTTACCAGATCTGTCCAAAAACCACATTTGCAAGAAAATAAATATTAACTTATGTTGCAAACACATAATTAGGCAAAATCAACTTCACCAACATGTCACACATGATTAAATAACACCAGAAAACCTAGTGTCCATGACCAAATAAATTCTTTTAATGCATTTCTTAATTTATTTTAGATAACAAGGTGACTTAATGAACATATACCAAAAGTATACAATAAATTCTACTAAAATTACAGTGGCTCACATATCCTCTCAATAGTCTACTGTACAAATTTCACTCTATTTGAATATGTATAGCAACCTCTATGAAAAAGACAAGTCACTAAAGCAAGAAATCATGTGAGAGCAAGATAAACCAATAACTCACTCATACTTCATCCAATACTCATGAAGTTTTTACCACACATCAACTATCACATGAGTAGCATGCCACAAAAATTTCACTTCATTTGGAGCCCTAGATCTACAGTTATGAAAAAGACAAATACCACTAGCATTACAAACCTAGCTGCATAAATATATTTTTACAGCTAAAACTTTAAAGTAAAACATGTAATATTATAGATCTAGTGCATAGAGAATTTCACAAGGATTCCAAAAAGTCCTCATTTGCTATTTTACGAATTTCCTATGAATTACTATGATTTTCTAAACTTTCAGCCGATTTAAAACAAATAGGTCCTCGAGGTACTATTCACTTGAGTCAATGACAATGCAGTTAGGCCCCTTTACTTAGTCGAATTTGAGCCCGAGGTCCTTGACGTGAATCACAGCAGGGAGGTCGTCGGAACCGTTCGGTTCAGGCAGCCAGGGTGGCCGGCGATCGTAGAGGAAGGGCGCTGGGGCAGGCCGCACCCAAGGCTGGCACTATGTCGGCCCGAGCTGGCCACCGGCGGCATGGCCACGAAGCTCCCACGGCGGCCATGGCTGCAGGACAGCATGTGCAGCAGCGGCATGGCGAGGGCAGCGGCGCGGTTGGCAAAGCGGCACAGGACAAGGGAGGAGGCGACGACGGATTTAGCACCGGCCTTATCTGGATGACTGTGAGAGAGTGGCCGGCGGTGATGGAGCTCAAGCAGCAGCGTCGTTCGTGGCAGCGGCAGTGGCTTTGTGTCGGCTTGGAGAGAGCAGGAGAGGGAAGGGGAAATGAGAGACAGAGAGTTGAGAAGAGTGTGCCGGTCCTTTACTAGAGCAGGCAAGGAGGCGAGCTGGCGGCCATGCAAGCAGCGAGGCGAGCACGCGGCCTACAGCTCTGAGGACGGTGTCCGCACTGTTCATCAATTTCAAATTTCCAATTCTACCTCAAACATACCACTGAAACTCATACTTCGTGCCTCCGTAGCTCCTAAACCACGACGAGTTAGCAAAAACTCTATTAATAAAAGTTGTAGATCTACATACCAGCTCCAACTTTTATTAAAGCTTCAAAGTCTAATTAGGCCTGGTTAGAGAGATAGAAGGACCTAAAGTGCGGTACACGAAACTGAAAATTCAGGTTCTGTCCATTAGGGACTTAGCCAAATTTTTGAGCTCCAAAACATCCATGGATTCCAACTTGAGGGCTCGGTTTGACTTGCTTCAGAGCTGATCTAGCTCTTGACCATTAAACAAAGTTTGTTCTACTCTACTCAAACTTTAACTTTGATTTAAGGTGCAACTCCATGCAAGCACTATAAGTGATTGGTCAACACAGGTCAAAGTAGCATCACGAGTAAAGCTTAAATCCAAGTTTTAGACCGATGGGAGGTATTTTCTTGTCCTCCGCTCAACACGAACCCTTCATGACTTTTATTATAGAGTTCATCTAGAGTCATTTGGGTAAGGTTGCAAGGTTTGGTTGATGACCTACATTTCCCTTCACTTAATAGTGCAATTCAAGCACTTAGTAAAGTCATTCCAATAAGGATATAACTTATCATTTCATGTGACTTTTTAATTCCAAACTTCATGAAACTTTTCCAGTGATCAATATAGATGGATATTGATGTGAGACACATGAAGATATTCCAATAACACCAGCCAAGCATATATCTTGAAAGTGGCCTATATGTAAAGCAAGGGTGTAATATCCGATTTAGGTTGGGGCTTATTTCCATAGGTTTGACCTTGACATCTCCAACACCACTTAACATGTCATGGTTGAGCTTAAACCCGTTGCTTAACTAGTGACAAACACCTGGGGTGTTACAGTCCATGTACACATTGCCCGCAACTGGGGTGCTGTCCGACCGCCATGCCGTGCCCCTCGCCCATGGATGGCTGGCTTTAGATGATGTGAGGATAGTTTATTCTATGTACATAATTTCTAGCTTCTTTTCTTCCAAGAAAAAGAATAGATAAAACATGTTTTTTGCATAACAATTGGTAACATAACTTCATATTTTCTAATGTCATGGTAATTATAAGGTTCTATCCAATTTTGAGGTGAATACGAGTTCGAACATGTAAAGTGCTACTTAAATCTCAAAATTTGACTTGAGTTACTACGAACTATGTGAGAGATGTCTCCATTTGTGAACAATGTATGCTCCAACTTTATCAAAATACTTAATTTTTTTACAAGCTCAGTTATGAACCAAAAATATGTTGCCACATCAATTTGTAGAATTTTTGGATCAAATTTAGATATTATTGTAATTATTATGTGCTAATTTGGAGATAAAATTTTGAATTGTCTCTAGAAGACAACATAATTTTTCTCCATCTCCAATACATGGTTTGTAATGGAACATATGAACCTAAAAAATATTTTTGTGCAATTTTTCGAATCTTATTGGAGGGACACGTAGTTCAACTTAGGATTACTTTCAATAAAGACATAGAAAGTCAATTAAATGATAGAAAATACCAAATCTACTTAGAAATTATTCAAACTCCTCCATGACAATTTATATGTTGCCTATTACATTTGAAAAATGTATTCATCGTATTTAATATAGTTTATGTACAAGTTGCTTCACAAAGGTGCCTTAATTTCTTATTTTAAAAAAAGTTGCTTCATATAAGCTTTTCAGGCGTTGGGCTGAATTCAGTTTGCCCCCCGCCTCCTTCTCTAGTCCAATGGCGCCAGCCCAAAAATTTTGCACAGTTAATTGATGCTACTACCCATCCTCCTCAAATCCCTATATTTTTAAGGGTATCTTCGTAATCTCATCCCACACCCGCGCCCCAAATCTCATCCACGTCTCCGCAATCTCATCCACCACAGGCCGTTTTCTCCACCACAGATCGTATCTCCTCAGTCGCCGCCGTGCCCCCATCTCCTCCTTGTCCGCCAACCACCGCGCCCTCATCTCCTCCCTCCACCGACTGCCGCGGCGAACATGACTCCTCCTCCGTCAGCCAAACCGACCGCGCCTCCCTCCTCCACCTCCTACCGCGCCTACATCCCTAGATCCCTCCACGCCGTCGACTTCTCCCACGGATGGGGAGGTGCAGCGGCCCCGCCCCCTCCCCTCCCTTCGGCCCCCGCCGCCACCGGCTTGTCCTCCCAGAGTAGTCGCTGCTGCGCCCGGCCGTCGTCGCGGTGGCCTCCCCCCCTCGGGTTCCCTCGTGGGATGGCGCGGCGGCCGGGCGGGGATGGGTACTCCTCGAGGGGGTCGAGGAGGACTATCCAGTGGGGGAGCTCGAGGAGGACGATGGCGGCGACCTTGACTTTGTCCTCCCTCCCCGCGTCGCCATCGGGGCCGATGAGAACGGCCTCAAGAAGGTCATTGAGTACCGCTTCAACGACGACGACAACAAGGTCAAGGTCACCACCACCACCCATGTCCCCTCACCCCCATGATGCTAGATGTGCTTCGACTGCAACGCCAAGAACCCAACCTAGGCCTCCGTCACCTATGGCATCTTACTCTGCCTCGACTGCTCCGCCGTCCACCACAGCCTCGGAGTCCACATCACCTTCGTCAGGTATCTATGCTACCCTACCTACCGCTGCTAACTGCCTTCTCCCAATCCACTGCATTTTTTATTTAAATGTGAGCTCCTCTATCTTTGTTAAAGGATGAATAGTCCAGGATTGACTTCACTTTGCGTGAAATGCATCACAAGTATCCATATTGTTTTTCTAGTAAGAATGGTTTGTGAATACTCCGTTGATGTTCTTTGATTTTTGGGAGGATTGAAGTTGTTATGTTTGATTAACTCACTGTTAAATTTTAAGTACTTTCATACAATGATGGTTAATTAGATAATATATGTTCGTAGTATTGATGAGTTCTTATTCTTATGGTCTACGTATGCAGGGATGGTGTGAGTGAGTCTCAATTTAGGCAAGTACTGAACATTGAGCTTAATCAAATCATAAAGGTGACATTTAGTTTACCTGGGAATTCCTTGGCTTTCTAGCATCCTTTTCTAACAAGAGCTCGATAATACAGGCTTATTAGAGTATGGGACAGGGGGATCTTCTGAAGTGCATAGTGATCATTGCTCAAAAGAATCACCACACAAAACTCTTCCAAGCTGATTCGCCAGACAACATTCCACCTAGTAAGCTCCCCTATCCCACTTAATACTGCTAAAGGTACTTGCCACTTAAACAGCTTGAGCAACTGGCACTTTTGCTTTGCATCAGGGACTATCGTAGACTCTAGTATTGTTCATCCAAGGCAGTATGATTTTTACATGTGTGCTCAAGCTGGACCAATTGTAAGTTCTCCTAGCACAGTTTTGGATTTTGGTTGGCCTTGCTTGTCAGTTGTGTTAGTTTATTAACCTGAATAACTTGGCTTCATGTGTTGCTCTTACAGGGTACCTCAAGACCCACCCACTACCATGTGTTGCTCGATGAGATTGGCTTCTCAACAGATAATCTCCAGAAGCTAGTTCTTTCACTTTCATATGTGTAAGCACATTTGTTTACGTTTGTCTTACTCTTTTGTGCTAGAGCTGGGAGGATGCCAACATATTTATGCTTGTGCAGGCATCAGAGGAGCACCGCTACAATTTTTGTTGGTATGGATAACTACTTAATTGTAGTTTGCTTCCTCTATTTGAAGATATTAACTCTTTGTTGTGTGCTTGCCTTTGTACTGTTTTCTTCTTTTTGTTTTTAAGATATTACTTGCTGTTTGATTATTGCTGTTTTTCCTTCTTCAGTGGCAGCTATCTGTTACGCCCACCTAGCAGCAGCTCAAATGGGGCAGTTCATGAAATTCAAAGAGTTCGCTGATACCTCATCAGGAAGTGGGGTCAATTCATCATCATCAGCAGCAATCCCAGAATTGCCGCTGCTTCATGCTGATGTGTGCAGTTCCATGTTCTTCTGTTGAGGTGATCTTGGTTGACCATTGTGTGGCAGGCTAACTCTTTGTGAAGGAACCTGATATGATGGGTACACAGCAGGGTAACCTTAATTACGTCATCCTGGAATTTTGTATGTACATATAGCTTTAAGACTGAATGATACAGTATCATATACCTAATAAAATGCTAGCGGATCAAAGTTTTGTTCTTGCAGACACAACATATGCTTGATCAGATTCTTCCATCCCCTGGAAGTTGGCCCTGAGCCAACCCTGCAGATTGGGTAAGCCATATGTACACCCTGCAGAAGTGCAGATTGCTTCAATTCTTGTCATTCGCTAGACCTTTGCCTCTTAAAACTCGCTGAAGTTACCAATGAAGTCATTCAAAAATTCATTCATTTGGATGTTCTATTCAGGAACTAAGGGACATTGAAGCAACTAAGGCAGTGAAAGGGAAGCCTTTCTTCCTGGAGGTTGACATCAAAGGACCTGGTCTAAAACTTGATAACATGGGAAAAGCTATTCTTACAGTGAGCGTATACAACTTAGCTACTTACTGTGACAATCCATAGAGCATGTAGCCAAATGATATTTTTTCTTTATCATTTACATCACTGAAGATGATTAATGATGTAATGTTTGGCCTTCATGCAATCTGTTCTTTCTGAAATATAATGTTTGCATTGTTTTGAATGTATAACCAAAATAATCTATTTTGTATTCTAAATATAAATGCATTGGCATTCTCTGGCCAACTCCAGAAATCTGACTAAATTAGGGTGCAACCCATTCTACAAACTGTCTTGTCTGAACAAACATAAAGTTTTGTCTAACAGAATGTTTAAAAACTTACCCTATCTATGCTTCTGTGTACCATGCTGAAAACTAAAACTATATACTTACCTGTTGAACTTGTGCAGTAGAAAAGGAAAATCTTTGTCGGCACAACCCAAACTTAATTTGAGGTCACATAATATACCAATGTTATTGATTTTTTCATTTTTTCAGGACCAAGATTGAGTTCGAGTGGAGTGCACAAGTGATGGGACGGTCAACGTCAATCCAACCATTGTTACAAGTGTTAGACATAGTTCACTACATTTTGATGCATTGAAACTAGCTAGTGTGTGTCGGATACCTTATGTGTTTCAGTTGTTGTGCGTGTGTTATCGACTAAGTTTGACATTGGATGTGGTTTCATTAATGAGTTGTACGAACAAAGCATATTTTGGATTAATGGATGTCTAAATGCTTCTTTCATCATATATTGTTCGGCATGCAATTATTGTTGAAGCAAACAAAGCGTTGCAATATGGACTATCGACAAAATAATTTGGCGTTGCAATATATGATATAGCAACAAACAAACGGTGTTGCAAAAAACATCATACCAATGGAATAGTGGGCGTTGCAATAGAGTCTCCAAACTGTAGCAACACAATAGTTAGCGTGGCAATAGAGGGTCCAACAATAGCAACCAGTATTGATCGTTGCAATAGAGAGGCAACCTCTAGCAACCAAACATTTACCGTGGCAATAGATGGAGGCACCTATAGCAACCACAATGTTTAGTGTTGCAATAGAGAGGCTACCTCTAGCAACCAAATATTTATCGTGGCAATAGACGGTTCCACCTATAGCAACCAGTATTGATCGTTGCAATAGAGAGGCTACCTCTAGCAACCAAATATTTATCGTGGCAATAGATGGTTCCACCTATAGCAACCACCGAGAAAGCATGGCAATAGAGGGTCCATCTATTGCAATGCTATTGATGCATGGCAATAAGGTCTATTGCAACACCCAATATCATTGCTAGTGCACCTATTGCCACGCTTTGGGTACGTGGCAATAGGTATTTCTGGCAACATCGGGTGTGTTGTAATAGTAACCATTGCAACACCCACGATGGTTGCCTATACTATAGGTTGCAACACTACATGGCGTTGCAACAACACTCCTTGGTGTTGCAATAGGGAAAACCTATTGCAACACCAAAATGAGTCGTTGGGCAAACCTTTTGCCATGGTTACTATGGCAACGCCTGCCAACGAAAAAAAGTGTTGCAATTTTGTCTATCGCAACCATTTTTGGTATATTGCAACGCTTTTAGGCCCTTGCATTAGGGGTAAAACCTTGTAGTGGGAATGGAAATGCTTAATTGCTATTGCTTAGTTGTTTAGCAACAGTAGAAGTTGAGTATAAGGGAACTCATTCTCGCGCGTGTAGGATGCTACATTGGGATAATTAATTTCTAAAACTAATGGGGGTACAACTTGACTTACTTCAATAATCTGGCTAAGGAATAACATCACTAAAAGGTTATAAACTTGGATACCACTTTGGTAACTTCGCTCATGCGAGGGGTAGGTCGTTGTGAGTGTGGGATCTCAAACGACGTAGCTCGTGGAGTAGTTAAGGACCAATTATTGGGATACGTGAGTCTGAGTAACCACCCGTATAGACCACATGCCGTGGATGGGGTCGATAAGCCAAGTAACTAATTTTGACCGGTTTATCCGTGAAACTAGCAAGTGGGTGGCGTCGATCGAGAATGTTTGGGACATTGACCGGGCACCAGTCGAATCTTTCATGTGATAGTCGGGCCAGATTAGGGAAAGGTTGGAGATGTGAGGCAACCCTTACCTCTGGTGCACGAGGTATGGTGATTAGTCCCGTTCTTCGTGTGGGTACAGTTGTACACCTCTACAGAGTTTGAAAGCCTAGAGTCCTTTAGGACGGAACCATTCGGTTGTTCCTATTGATGATCACTAACACCCATTTTGACCATCAATATTCCACCCAAAAGTATGGAAAAGTTAGGTAAATCATCATCACATGTGTAGAATTTTGTTTATAATTCACCTAGTTACACTTGTGCTTGTAGAATTATATGTATACAAGAAATATGGCAAAATTTAGCCAAAATGTTGACAAACATGGACCAAGGAAGCAAGTGGACAAGGTAGGGCCACTTGGGCCCATAGGGCAGCGCCGCCCGGCGCCACCTAGGCACCGCTCGGCCCCACCAAGTGCCACCTTGGCACTTTGCCACGTCATCGAGAAGCCAATGAGAAGCATTGATTTAAGTCAGTTCCAACCAAGGGTCATGATTGAGAGGCCATGGATCCATGGGCCCATTGTCATAGGCTTGGAGGCTCTCCAACCGACTTACCTACCAAGTTTCATCATGTGCTGGATTCACAACCGCCTTGGAGGAGCAACCACAGTGCTACGATGCAATAGCGGTGGATCCAAGGGCTGGCTGACACCCCGCTAGCGCCGCCCGGTGCCCTAGGTCCTCCACCGACCTTGCCACTACCTACAAATACCTCTCCCCTGACTATACACTATAAATAGTGGGTGTGGAGCTCGATGGAGAAGTGCCCCACTCAATTCCAAGCTCTCCAAGAGCTTTCTAGCTTAGCTTTGCTAGAGTAGTAGTCTAGTAGTGTAGTAGAGCAACAGCGGAGCTGCTCTCGGAGTTCAGAAGAGTCTTCTAGGTCTAGTATAGCTCCTTTGTTTCATTTCAGCATTTACTTTATTGAATATTTATTTCAGTAGTTTATTCGTATTATTGCTTTGCTTTACTTTAAGTACTTAGTCATTAGTGTTCATCATTAGTGAGTTTACTTGCTTGTTATTTGGCATTAGTAGCATAGGTTATCTTATAATTAGTAGTCTTTCATTAGTATTGGTTCTACTGTAGCAGAACCGACCAATTTATAAGAGCACAAGTACAATGGCAGCCCGCAAGCGGTCGTACGGTCATACTTGAGACCATATAAACCCGGTAGTCCGTCGAGTACCACGAAGAGTCTCGATTAACCATCAACATACAACCAAGACCGCGCATGATTCAACTATATGTCACATGTTATATAAGGTTCACAAATACAGTTCATCCATCAGAGTATGAATTTAGGTTATTACAACCAAGTTCAAGTAAAATAGTAGCGGAAGCAAATTAAAGTTTGAAACCAACATCTACAACATTGTTTAAATATAGTGCCAGTCCACGATCACATTTCCACAAAAGCATGTGAGAAGGGTTAATAAAAGATGCCTGCCCAGGGCTCACTCGTCATCCACGGTGGGACAGAAGCAGTTCTTGCAATAGCCATGACAAACTATACCATCTGCAACAATCGAAATAAAACCCTAAGTACGAGAAGGTACTCAGCTAGACTTACGCGTCATAAACCAAAAACAAAGTGACTCTAAGGATTATGCAAGGCTTTATAAGTGGAGCTAGCTTGACAACATTTTGCATAAAAAGCTTACCAATTCAAGTATATAGTTACAATTCGGTCATCAAGTTAATTATATCTATTCATCTCTAGATTAGCAACTAGCATGTGCCAACCATGTGGTATATCCTTTAGTAGCATACAGTAGTAACCCTAGCCGGTATAATAATTCCATGTTCATCATAACCATCATTCCTAATACAATTACTACGATGTTGGGACTAGCCAAGTTTCTCACTGTCTGCGAGAGACGGTGATTCAAATCGATTTCAACCAGCTGGGAATTTATTCCTAACACAAACCCAGGCAGATTAGATCAACGGTCACCTTAGGTCACCTTTGGTATAGCTTAGGTCCACATTTCATGGGTTTGCCCAGCGCCGCAAATCAGGGACGACCAGCTGTCAGGACGTTCAAGCCTAGCCTGCCCTTGGGCTCATGTCTGGCTCCCCGCACATCATTGGTACCATCTAGAGTGTGCACTTTTACAGAACAGGGCCTGGCCTGAGTTGAGCTACTCGGCTTCGCGGTCGGAATGAGTTATCCGGCCAGCTAAGTGAGAGGTATGCGTTCATTCTCAACAAAAGCGCCAACAACGGTACGATCCTTAATCGACACAGATGGAATCACATGAGTCAACCTACACATAGACTCCGCCCGGCCTCCATTTACATTACCCCATGGTTCTTTTCCACGATAGCAAATATAGCCAACCGTGCTTTGGTATCCACCTATATCTCATAGGTGACAGGAAATCAACCGACTTCTACCGGTCTAAGCATGGCTAAGCATATATTCGATTCTGGACCTACACAGGGTTAAGGGTATATGTATTTGGACAAGGTAGTTCTATGCATCAAGTGTTTTCAATCAACTCTTATAACCTAATGCATCAAACATAAAGAACTCAAGTGGAGTTTTGTAAAACATAGGAGACTTAGAATGCTCTGGGCTTGCCATTGAGGAAAGAGGTTGGTCGGTTATCCGGGCACTCAGGGAGGTCCTTGAGAGTTTGCTCCTCTTCTCCTAGAGCTACGGCTTGAGGTGTTTTCTGTTGTTCCTCCTTCTTTTCTTCGTTGAACTCTAAAAGGGTTATCCCTTCAAACGATCCTATATGCATGAGCATGAAATAAGATATCATGAATGCATATATGATGACATGTATAATATGATATGATGTGATGAATGCATCCTCATAAGTGTTTTCAAGAGCATTGCATTAAGGTTATAATAAGTTACATTTACTTTTACTGAGTAGGTGCATATCTTTTCTCTAGGAACTTAAACAAACACTTATGTAAATCATTTTCTGGACTACAAGACAACAACCACTTGTTTTGATCATAACTAGAGTTACACACATCAAAATAATATGGTTGTGGATATTCTAGAAAGCTTATGAAATTTCGTACAACTTTCTTTTAATCATCTTAATGTGATTCAGCAGTTATCTAGGTCAAACAATTCAATCTTTCAGATCTATCCAGAGAGCAAGCATTTCTGACAGCAGACTTCTAATATCCATAATTCTTAAACCATAAGACCTATGACTATTCAAATTTAACACAAGGTATATAAGTAAGTTATCTACAACTTTTTTATTAACCATCTTTACAGAAAAGATCATTATCATCATGAAATCATCACCACAACAGAAACTATACATGCAACTATCTACTTGAATCACAAAGCGATAATTAACTAGTAGCATACAACCAATTACTTCTAAGCTTAATGAAGAACATCATATCATATGCATCACCAACACCA